GTGTAATGGGTGAAGAAGAAGGAGTTTTTAATTAATGGTTTAAAAAAAATAATTTTTTTATTGTATAATTTTTAATATATTTTTTAAGTAAAAATGCTCCTCACTCGCCTTAATAGGCGTGTAGTTACACACCTTTGCCAACTCAGACATCCTAATGCCACATAAGCCTGGTCAATAGTCAGAGGGGTTTGTTAAATTGTGTTTTATTGAGTTTAAGGGTCCAGATGACAAAGGTGTAAGTAGAAGGGTTCAGAATACAAACTGATACAAGTATAAGGGTCCACCAGACCATTTCTCCTTAAGAAAACAATATTTAATGGTGGCCAATTAGTCCCGAATTCAAGTTTAAATTGTTTATTCAGCTAGAGATATACTTGAAATAGAGCTGCATATCGGTCGGTTCGGGTTTTAAAGTTTATCGGTTTGACTTATTGGTTATCGGTTTGTAAAGATGCTAAACTGTTATAGAACCATTAAGATCTTGGCTTATCGGTTATTGGTTTGTCGGTTATTGATCGTTATCGGTTCGGTTATCGGTTTAACCATAAAGATTTGACACCAAAAAAATACATTAAAAATCACTTAGAAACAAGGTGACAAACCAAATGAAAACTGTGCACATGAGTTCACAAGTTACATCTTGTTCAAAAGCAAACATTTTTACATTTTAGAATAACCAAGAGTTTGAGAAAACCACAAATAAAAGTAGGAAACCAAACTCTAAGTCAAAGACTTTAGATACAAAATGGTATAAATATAATTATTTAATTTATTATCTGGTTATCGGTTAACCCGTTAAGAACCGATAACCAAAAAATCAAAACCGTTATCTAAACCGCTAAACCAATAACCCATTATTGATAAACCAATAATTTTTTTTGGTTCAAATTATCAGTTTCGGTTCGATTTTGAACAACCCTAACTTGAAAGGTATATTCACCGTGAGTGGCGTAACCAGAAATTTCACGAAGAATATCCAAGTCATAAGTAATTTTATTGTTTTTGAAAAGTGGATGCGCCAATTTTTTTTTATGTCAAACTATGTCATATTAGTGATTGACTTTTTTCATTGGAGAATGCTCCAAAAATTTTAAAATATCAAAATTTTAAGTTTTAAGTTTTCACCGGCCTTTGTCAATGGTAACAAAAGTAACGAGACTTAAAGTAGACTCAAATGAATCTTTTTTCAATTTCCTTATGTACCATTTTCTCTTTCAATTTTGGTAAAGTTGTAGCATTACTTTTACGTTTTATTTAAATTTTTAATGAAAAGTAAAAATAAGTAAAAAAAAAAAAACACATTCATTTGGCGCCACTAATTAAGAATTATTTTAATAAATTACAATTCAAAAATAACAAATTCATCAACAATTTTAATTACTTAATTAATAAATTTAGAAAGTAATGAATTATCATTATTTTAAGGGCGAGACATTACTTAATTAAAGCTTTTTGAAAAATAACATAACTACTTGCGGTGAGAAAGAATCAAACCTACAAACACATAGGCCCTGACTCTTCATGGAGTCTTTCTATCACTGAGCTATCCTGTAATGACCCTCGTGGGTTATTTCTGCGTTTCACATGTTTTTACCATTTTGTCCCTTCGTGTAGCTTCCTTATGGCTTAGGTGTGATGGCATGCTTCCCGAGGTGTTTGGTTGTATTTGGTGCTAGTTTTTGAGTTTGGAGACTTTAAGATTGAAAGAGTTGATCTAGTCATCAACATATAGAGATTTTGGCATCGGATCGGAATTCCGTTAGTTCCATCATTTCCGAAAGGGTCTTTTTGGTCTAGTATGTGGATCGGTTCGGGTTTTGAGGCTCCAGTTGGAGTTGGTGCGAATAGGCGTTTTAGCTTTATAGCTTTGCCTAAAGTTTAACTTTGGTCAATTTTCTTGGTAAAAGTGCTCAAAATCAAATACCTTCAGTGGGGTTAGCCCCGTAATGCCAAACTTGGTCAAGAATGACCTTTGGTTCAGTTTCGAAGCTATCGGGTTGAGTGTCTAGCTTTTGGCATTTTGTTTGTGTTTCTTTGTTAAATGTTGACTTTTGTCAATATTTTGACGAAACGACCTTTGTCAATATTTTGACCATCGCTGGTACCTAAGCGAACCCTTGCCTGACTGACTACTTAGTGGAATACTTACTCAAATAGAAATAGGATCTTCAATTGCATAATTAAACTTAAAGTCTAAATCAAACTCAACTAAAATGAACATCTGGAAATACTTATGAAGTTATAAAATCAATTGTCTCAAGATCTTAAAACATCTCAACAGGAAGAGGAAATAACAACAGAGTCCTCAACATCTAACTATGTATGAAACCTCTAATACTAAGATAGATGTCGGGAAAGAACCCACAACAACCTAACAAAAACAAGAAATAAGTGTGAAGCCCTCCGGAAAGCAAGGAGGCTCACCAAAGATAGCTGGAATGCAAGTGGTATCAACGAAGCTCCTTTTGATGACCCTGAGCACCTGTATCTTCCATGAAAAAATGCAGGCCGAATGACGTCAACACATTGAATGTAGAAGCATATAAGGGGAAAACTGAAAGCATAGACAACTGAAATGATAAGACTAGAAGACAAATTCACCTCAACTCAACTCCAATATAATAGTAATAATAAGAGATGCAATGTTTATGTCACGCCCCAAGCCTACACCCTGGGCGGGACCGGCACCCGGAGACCATTGTTGGCCCCAAGCGAACCCTTGGCCTGGCTTTCTAAACTCAGCGGAAACCTAACTCAACAGAATAACTCAATGCAATGCAAGATTATAAAACAACTTAACTAATGCATAACATGCCAAAAGGCAACTCGTATCTCAAAATAGAATATTTACATATATACATAGATGAGAGACTCAATACTAACTGACTGACTGTCTATGAAGCCTCTATAACACTGAGATGGATGTTGGGACAGACCCTGCAGCATCCTGATAAAACAAAACTAAGAGAACAAAATAACCGAGTCCTCCGGAAAGCAAGAAGGCTCACCACTGACTCTGGAGTGCTCAGCTGGATCAATGGCGTGCTGGATGTTGATCCTGGGTACCTGTGTCTGCATCTTCATAAGATGTAGGCCAACTGACATCAGTACATTAAATGTACGAGTATGCGAGATGGAAAGCTAAACCACAACTTAAGCTTGAAAGGAGTACAAGAGAACACTTACCTTAACTCTGCTGGACTCATGAATAACCGAACTCAATATAAAGCAATAAGACACATGCAATATATATAAAGCTTTTAAAATATTGTAAACAACTTAGTTCGTTAATGATTAAAGCAATAATAAACTCAACTTTACTTATATAAGAGTAATATAACTTTAGTGGGAGATTCTTTAACCGACAACCACCACTATGAGCCCTAGTGATGATACAACGTTTTACCTCACGTTGCCCAAGGACCATCCTATACCTTGCCATGATATAGGACCTTACTTAACTTAGTGGATCCAGTAGCTTAATCTTACGTGATCATCTAAAAGAATGACCCGTTAATTCCCATGTTTGGCTACATGGTTCTTATGGAGAGTTGAGTAAATATGAACTCGCGTCCCCAATTCGGTGTTCAAATACTACTCCCAAAATACTTTAGCTCATAAGTGTTTTAAACACATCTTTGTTAGTTTGAGATAATTGCTCAAAATCTAGCCCAAAGGCTCACTTGGAATCGATGTTCCTTTTTCTTGAAAACTAGCCCAAAGGCTCTTTTGGAAACATAGTTCCTTTCTTACTCAAATGTAAAAACATTTAGAAACTTCTTTGGGAATACATAGTTCCCTAATAACTTTTGAGAAATGAACTCAACTCTATACTCTTGGCTTAACTTGAAACTTGAGCCTTAAAACGAAGTTAAAACGTTTAATAAAGACTCTTGAAAAACTTTAAAGACTTGCTTTGACTTGCTTCTTAACACCTAAACTTGACTTCTAACTTCACTTGACTTTAATCCTAACTTTCCTCGAATTGGAGTACCGATTCGAGGGTAATGATCTCATGTTAATGGATGAATTCGGGATCTTTAGATGTACAGTGTTTAAAACAACTATAAAACATAGGTACATTACCAAGGAACATGTATGAGAAAGTAGGGAATGATAGGGAAAACTTGGCGTCCTTGGTGCTCTGAGAGGCACGGGGCGCCAGACCACAAAGTTCAGAAGGGCTTGGTTGGGGCTCTTCTAGGCGCGCCACCCCAAGGGCTGGGCTTCAGAGCCCCTTTTGGGGGGCGCTGGCTGGCGCGACGCCCCAACCCCTTTTTCCCGAAAACTCTACTTTTCTCCTTAGTTTCTCCAACTCTAAACCTTCTAAACTTCAAAGTTTTCAGCCCCAAACACTTCAAATCATAAATCCCCTTAGTATACAATGGATTCAACTCGAAATCACAACCGGAAACATGCCCCAAAATCAATAAGAACCTCAACACAATCACAACTAATAACTTCAACAAACACAACCAACAACTTCAACAAACACAATCAATCTTTTCTCGAAATTAAACGAGTTTGGCATGTGGGGGAAATAACCAACCCAACACTATGAACTCACATACCTAGTAGGGATCACCCCCGACGATATCCACGACGATCTTTGACGAAACCTTGCTTGATCTTCTCTTTCTCCCCTTCTTCTCCTCTTTACTCACAAACCCTCACTCTCACTCTTTTAAAAAGGGAAAAACTGATCTAAAATCAGTCTTACACCTTAATATATCCAAAATGGATTGGTTAGGGAAAAGACCAAAATACCCTTAAAATTTCCGGACGGACTTCCCTGCTAACTGCCCAACTTCCAAATGGCATAACTCACTCATACGAACTCAGAATCGAGCAAACTCGGCGGCGTTGGAAAGATCATTCCAAGGGATTTCCAAACATAACTGGAACTACAACTAACACATCATGAGCTAGGAGTTATGACTGTTCAAAGTTGACCAAAAACTCACTTTTTCCCATACTTAACCAAATTTTCCAGATTTTTAAATTCTTTCCAAAAATGACTATTTCCAATTTTTAAGCTTCTTCCTAGTTATCAACTTGCAACATGTCACAGTTTAAACATCATAAAACAGAAGATATAAACTCAATGATATATAAAAATACAATAAGATACTCTTTAGTCCTATTTGGGAGGTTCTCTAACAGATAACCATCATTATGAGATATGTGATGATGCATCGTCTCGCCCACGCTGCCAGAACTTTCCTATACCTTGTCGGGGAATAGAACACCTCAACTAAGTGGATCCACTAAGCTATGCTTAAAAGTGATAAGGAATCGTCTAAAAAGTACAAACCTTTACCTATGTTGGCTACTTGGTTTATGATGAATGTAAGTTGTCTGAACTCATCTCCATATCGGTGCTCAATACTACTCCTAATAATATATAACTCATGCTCAAATGTATAAAACATAACTATTTCTCAATTTGAGCTAATTACTCAATAGATTCTCTTAAAGGAGGTAATGCTCTGAAATATCTCTGAACTCATAAACTTATTTAGTAAATCAAAGTTTCTCTCTTTAAATGTTGATAGTATTATTGTTCCCAGATGTTTTGATGATCTCCTCACAAATGCAGGGACCCGGTCCTCTGCAGAGTGTGCTCGTCCAGGTCCATGTGCTATACAGGTGGAAAACAATCGCGTCAGAGGTTGGCGAGGTCGTCAGAGTACCACACCAATCAGAATGGATGAGGTTGTTTGTCCAACGGTTAATACTTCTTTATGATTGATTGATATATTCAACATCACAAACAACAAATTAGATCATTCTATTCAAAGAGAGAACATTCAAGCTTCAAAAAAAACAACAAGGGACCTCATAGACTGACGATTTGCTTCCTGAGCCTGCTGTTATTTTGATTGCTTGTATTTGTGCTTACATTGTAGGATTCGTTTCACTTGTGTTAGAAACATTTCAAAACTTGTGTGAATCACTGTAAGAACTTAGTTGAGGGAAACTTTGTGTCTTTCGTTAAAAGTCTATATTAATCAGTGAGGGTTAGTATAGTAGGCAATGCAGACATTGCTTTGGCTCATTAAGTAATAGTTTGTATTACTTAGAATAGAGATTAAGAGGTTAATCTTTTGTGTGGTTGTAAACTGTGTTTTACTTTTGCTTGAGAAGAATAGTAAAAACAGTTTGAAAATCCTGTGAGACAGGTTGTGGTTTTACTCCCTTGAGCAAGGAGGTTTCCACGTAAAGTTGTGTGTGCTATCTTTTCTTTTAGTATCTTCTTTTGTCTATCATTACTGTGTTAAGGACCTGGTCCCATCGTAGCTAGTGGATGCATACATTCCAACAAGTGGTATCAGAGCTTGACTTTTCTATTTAGGTAACACCAATAAAAGAAAAGATCCTGAAGAAATGGCTGCTCCACCAAGCTTGGAAGAAGGTCGATTCAACGGGCAATTTTATGGATGGTGGAAGACGCGCATGCATGACTACATCAATGTTGAAGATACTGAGCCGTGGGATGTGATTCTTGATGGATTATACATTCCCACCAAAGATGTAGTGGAAGGAGAACTCACCAAAGTGATTCCCAAAACCAGAAGGGAATACAATGAAGTTGACAAGAAAAAGATACAAAAAAACTATAAAGCAAAGAAGCTGCTAGTATGTGGGATTGGTCTAGATGAATACAACAGAATCTCTGCGCGCGAGACGATCAAAGAAATATGGGACAGTCTCAAAACAGCTCATGAAGGAACGACCTAAGTAAAGGAGTCCAAGGTACTCAATATGAGATTTCAGTATGAAGGAAGGTTAAACCATCCACGAGATGCATACAAGGTTCACTTCCATTACCAACGAACTAAGATGTCTTGGTGAGCCCTATTCACCCAAGCAAACAAGCTTGAAAAAATTCTTAGGGTACTTCCCAAGTCATGGGAGAGCAAAGTGAATGTTGTCACTGAAGTAAGAGATTTGAAGGTACTCACCATGGATGATTTAATTGGAAACCTTCAAACCTACGAGTTGAACAGGCAATAGGGGTCAACTGTGAAGGAAGGAAAAAGGAGAAATCAGTTGCTTTGAAGATGTCTCTGGATGATGGGTCAAAAGAGGAGGATGAGATGGCATACCTTACTAGAAGGTTCCAGAAGATAATCAAGAAGCATGAAGGGTTCCAGAAGAAAGGGTCTACCAGCAGAGTAGCAAATGCAAATGATCTTTGCCACAAATGTGGGAAGCCTGGACATTTCATGAGGGACTGTCAAAGCCAGAAGCAGGAAACTCAGGACTTCAAACCTCGTAGAAGAGACCAAGTCCCAGACTATGCTAAAAGACAGGCTCACGCTAATCAAGTAGTGAAGAAAGCCTTTGCAGTCTGGGAAAATGGCTCCAGCGAAACTGAGGAAAAAGAAGGCAGCCATGAAAATGTCTTGATGATGGCTGTCAAAGATGATGAAACCGTTTTCAACTCCATTTTCTCACTGATGGAAAAATCGGACGACGAGAGAACCATGATAAGGTAAACCTTTTTTATCTCAAAAGTGACCTAGATACTTTATCCATTAAAAGATTGAGTAAACTTGTTGCAGTGATAATTAACTCAGTAGATGAATTAATCACTGAGAATATGTTGATAAGTGAAAAACTGAGTCTGTGTGAGGATGAAAACGCAGCCCTTAACTCTCAAATGTCTAAAATAAGTGTTAGGATAAGTATTCTAGAAACTGAGAGTCTGCATCCCAACGAGGGACCTAGTACCTCTGAGGGTGGGAAATGAAAACTCAGTAGCTTTGAAGTCGAATTAGAAGAGAAGTTAAAGGCATCTGAGTCTAACTTAGCTGCCTCTCTTTAAAAGAATTCTCAATTAATGAAGGACCTAAGTAAGATCAAAGAAGAACTGAACCATTCCCTGAAATGGACTGATTCGTCTAAGATCCTTTCAAACTTATCTAATCAGAAGTTCAACAACAAAAAGGTCTTAGGTTGTTGACAGATAGAACCTCCCTACAATCCTCACAATAAATATGTCTCTGTCTCTGACAATCTTCTGTGTACCTATTTTGGAAGAAATGGTCATCTGAAGAAAAAATGTGAGTCTCTAAAAAGAGTAAAAGAAAGCCAGGAGAACTTCCTCAAGTCAAGAAAAAGAAATGTAGAAAAGAAAAAGGTACCTGGTCCCAGCTACCATGTTAGCAAGAATACTTTGCCCCATGGAAAGGAAGGTTTTTTATTAAACCTTTTGACTGTTTTTGCGAACTCCATCTCAAGTGGTTTCCTAAGTCTAATTAGTGGTTCTTGTACAAAGAGAGGAAGCAGTCAATGCTGGTACATGGACAGTGGATGCTCAAACCATATGACTGGAGACACTCAAAACTTCATCTCTTTGGAAGCACACCAGGGCGGTGGTGTGTCATTTGGTGATGGTTGATACGGTCAAATTACACCTCTTTTCAGAAGCATAAGCGATCGTTATCACGTAAAGAACCCAACTTGTAGGTTGGGGTCGATCCACGAGGAATATGGCATAGACTTAAGTTCAATAACGATTATATTCGTTTAGCCAATGTATTTCCGAGACAAATAAGTAAAAGGGGGAGGGGGGGGAAATTTGTGTAACAAATTTTGGAAATTATGAAAGTAATTAGTAAGCAAGATTCAAACTTTTGTTGTTATCAAATTGAGAAGGAAACTAGGGCGTACGTGTTCCCCATAAGCTCATAACATTCGTAATCCTAGTAATAGCAATCCCTTCCTAGTGTATTACATGGAAAGCGATAAGTTATGTATCTCTAAATCCTTGGTCCGGCATCTAGACAATTTCACCCCGCACCTTTGTCTGGCTACGTGTGTATAATTTACTAACCCTTACAATTACCTCATATTAGACGTCACATCAATGTATGGCTTTGTTTCCACCCTCGCACCAATCGACATTAATTCTATTAGATAGTATCATACTAAATCTATGTTGATAATTCTTTTCTTATTAACTACCTCATTAGTCCGACAAGTAGCAACAAAGCGAGTTCTAACGTTGCGCACTGTTAAAAAGACTTTTAGACGAACGAATTATCAATGCATGCAAAACACTATTCGGGAATGACTTAGTTACTATTCATACTTCGTTAATCGCTCATGGTTTTCACAACCCTAGTTGTGGATTTAGTTACCCATATTAGCAAGAAGACAATTCATAATGTTTGAAGAATAAATCATGAACTTACGTAGTAGAGTAGAATAATCCCAGAATTTCAACTTGAATTTCAAAGTAAAAATCACCAAAACGTGCTTAGGAAATTAAGAATTGCTAAAGTTGCAGGTTAATCTCCCAAGCCAAAAACTAGAACAAAAATAATAATGTCTAATCTCCAAAAACGAGGTTTACATACCCTATATATAGAAAAATAAGTCCTAATTAAAAAGGAAGTGAAATAAGGAAATAAAGTTGCAGGACACATCTTCATTCTACGAGACTGACCTACGGTCCGTAGGTCACTTCCGTGGCTCAAGACTTAGGCAATTTTTCTTTCTTCAAAATCTGCAAAATCTCTGTCGCAATCGACGATTCAACAGTATGGACCATAAGTCTATCTACAGTCGTAACTCTTCTCCGTAACACCACACTTAGATTTTTTCAGCATCAGGTACTGGAACCAATCTCTAAATGATTTGACGGAGCAACAGTATGGTCCGTAGATCAATCTACGGTCCGTAAGTCCCAACTGTGGTTCCACACTTGGTCAAGAATTCCATGATCTTCAGCAATGCCTTTCCTGCCCTTCTACGACTATCATCTACGGGGCGTAACTGGACCTACAATCCATAAGTTACCTCCGTAGATCCCCTTTTCTGCACTTCTTTCAGTTGTGTCTTCAAGTTTCCGCGCCTGAACCTATTCCCTGCAAACATGAGAAAAACACATATAAACTAATACAAAATAGCCCTGGACACACACAACTCTCAAGTGAAATGTATACAAAAATACCGTAAACTCACGGTACATCAACATCCTCAACTTAAAATCGTTGTTTGTCCTCAAGCGACGCACTAAGACTCTAAATGACACTTGTATAGAAGCAAGCAATTTAAGCACAAGCAATCACATGGCTCTCTATCCCAACTCTCTTTTCCGGTGCAAAATCTGTTCTCTTAGGCTCTACAAGCTAATTTGTGCGGATCAAAATATGACACAGATCGACCAATCAACTCACCACATACACTGTTCTATTATCACCAAGGTACCAACTTTCCAACAATGTCACCAGTGACCTTACTTCAAACGAAATCCCTTTTTTCACACAATAAATATGATTTTAAGTATAAGGATTCATTCAACACTCACGCTCAGAAGTAACTTCAATTACAAGTAGTGCTCAATACCATAGGTTTGCCCTTATTTTCATTGCTTAGACTCTCCAACTAGGTTCTAGGATCACTATAGGACTTTCTTGGCTTGTAACGTAGGCTTGATGAGTCCACAAATTGGACTCATTTAGGGCTTTATTTTTGATAGAAATAGTGTCCTCAAATGTTTATTTCGTCTCAATATCTAATGAAAACTCTTAAGTTTCAGGTATTTGATGTTTTAGTGGAAGCATGGACACTTAGGTGCAAAAAAGGAACAAAAAGGCTGAAAAGAACGAAGAAACTAAAGCCTGAGCATCGCCAATCACACTTGGTGATTCGCCGAAGGGACGCACTCCACCCTATGTTCCAGTATGCAAATCCCTGAAGGAGCATGATCAAAAAGGCGATGAAAGGAGCAGTCA